TGAACATCTAACCTAAATTCCCCCTCTTTTCATTTAAAACCATTCCTCCTTGTCCTATCACTACCCCATTGTGTGAAAAATCAGTCCCAATGCTGTTTGTAAGCGTCCTTTAAGTACTGGAAGGCCCCAGAGCCTTCTCTTCTCCAGATGGCAACACTTGGGGCAACAACCCCAAAACGATTTCCACCTGTGTTTTGGGTACACAGATTTCCACACCAATATTTTTTAATCCAGAAATTGCACTGCTGGTGTATTCTTAAAGACCAACACTATCATCTAACTGCTGTTTCAGTTTATCTGACATGAAAGTAGATTTTATTTCCTGTGGAGGTTGGGGTGTTATAACTTCTTGTTTTCAGAAGAAAAAAGAAATCTAACTTTCCATTTGGTCAGGCAGTCTCCATCATGATCTCATAATGTGAATAGCAATCAATGGGAAAGGAATGGCTCATTACAAGAGCGGCATCAGCCAGAGGATGTGTTTAGAAACTGAAGCTAGCTAATGAAACCCAAAGCTGCTCATTGAGCTTTGTGATGAATTATCGATTTTCTGGGTTCATTGATGATTTTTCTTTCAGAGTTACAGAGGGATAGAAGATAATTATCTGTAAGGGTCACTCGAGTTCACTCAGAATATTTCTGATAAAAAAGTTTCTGCTTCTACCTTGCTTGCAAGCAATTGATGGGGAGCATTTAATACGTGATAAAATATTTGATATTTTTTACATTTTCATGGAGTAGAGAGGCCCTGCAGTGTAGTCCTCATCCCTGATTAAAACAGGGAAGTTGTATAATCAAGCCACTCATGTAAATGCAGTCATCAGCTGATAATTCACCTTTCATAAGTACTCAGCCTGAGAAGGCTGTGGAAATTGCATTTCAGCCTTTAAAGATAAGTTTTAATAAAAAATTTGTTTGCATTCTAACAAGCTTCAATAATTTCTTTTGCTTGTATTCCAATATGTTTCTACTCCCAAGAGTAAAAGACACGATCCAAAATCACTGTGCTGTTTGTCATCTGCCTGGCACCCAAATGACACACAGAGAAGGAGCACAGGTCAGGCATTCTGCACTTGCCTGTGCATCACTTTTCTGCTGGGGATTGAACTGCTATCACATGAGCATTTTGCCAGCATGAGTGTTCCCAGAACACAAAGAGCCAAGAGTGGCAGAAAGTTGGGAACTGTCACTGTGAATTTGCAAGGTAAAATTGAAAAAGTAATTGGACCTAGCAAACTCCTCTTGTCTTATTTCTGTCTATTAAAAATCATTTCCTGCTCTCTCTCAGAGGTCCAGCATCATATCTTATGTCCTGCAAGTGAGAACAGCACAGTAAGGGCATAGTGCAGGCATGGCTTGTGCTTGGGAATGATTCCCTAGTGCTTAGCTGGAGAGGTAGGAATCCCCAGGCAAACTGAAGTTGCCAAAAAAATGCATCTCTATATTAGGAGCTTTTGACTTCATTGTTAAATGCCTCCATCTGCTGTATACTACTGTTTCAGTGCAGGTGGTGATTAAATCAGTATTTCTCCTGGAGAATTCACAGTTGAAAACCTCAGCCCCCTGTTTAAAGGTCCATATGGAACTTGTAGGATCTGGGGCTCACATAAGCAACGTGCTTCATCCATGTACAGCAGGAATACACATGGATGTACTCCTTTCCAGGCTAGAAACACTGTCAAGGTGGGATCTGAGAACTGCCTTCTGTTTAGATCTCTCAGGCTATCTGTCTGGCTCTACCACCAGACCTTAAGAAATCCTATACATAACATTCTGTTGGAATCAGGAAACAGGATTTAGCTGTGCCCATGGGGTCCCTAGTGCAGACATGCAGGTTTTGGTATACAGAAAGTGAAAAATCAATATGTTTTTTTCTGAGACAAATAACTTTCTCTACTCCTTCACTTGCCTCTTGCTTCATCTCACATGGTCACTATATTGTGGCAAGTAACCATTTACTTTTAATAGCACACAGTGCTCTGCTCCAAGGATTGCAAAACTCAGTAGAGAAGATATATATTCTCCAGCTTTCTTTCTACAGGATTGCAGCTCAACTTACCATTGATACTAAAATACCCATAGATGGAAAATATTCTGCATGCCTACAAACAGGGCCCTGGGATGCTGCAGTGCCAGCAGTTATCCAGCTCTGGAAGAGCACGTTGATCCTTCCCAGTCAATACAATGTTCCTGTGCAGAACTAGCAAGTAGTTGTCAAGGCTCTTAATGCTGAATGAAGGCAGTCCAAGGGTTCAGGTGTTGCCATCAGTTAACACCCCTGAGGAAGAGGTGCTTGATATCAGTGCTTACACCTGGCTGAACACTGGAGATTCTTGTCCATAAAAATAGTGTCTCTATTTACTACAACATTGTTAAAAGAAGTTGGCAGTTTCCATCCTAACTGCTTTCCTGATTGCATTAAAACATTGCTTGAAGCAGCTGCATAGCTGCACCTGTGCCCCAGATTAAAATCAAGATGAGAGAAACCTGGGAAAGTCATGCACAGGATAGCAAGCTATTGACATGCATCTCATGAGCTGGTATGGTCTTATTTGTTTAACAGATGAGAACTGACTGTAAAAGCTTAAAACTTAACTTTGGTATGCAGTTCTTAATAAAAAATACTTGGGTATCTTCTAATAGAAAAATGTATGCGTGTATCAGAAATTATCTAGGAGAGTGAATGCATCACACGTGCCAAGCTGACCTTTTCGAGGGGGCTCTTGGCAGCTCTCAGAGATTAGGTACTGATGGTTGGGACTGCTTTTCTCCCAGCATCACTGAATTTCTTTGTGGATCACAGCTGAGCAGTGCTCTGCCAAAGGCCAGCACAGCAGGATGGATATGTAGCTGGGCCTCTCTCAGACATCTGAACTGATGCCAACAGGTTGACTGAAAGCACTGACTGGTGAGATTTGGAGGAGAGGCTGGTAGGGGAGGTACAGCAAGGACAAACTCCACAGCGTCATGAACAGTGGGGTCCCCTGGCCCATTCTCTACACTGCCGTGCTAGAGCCAGTGTCACTCACTATGCTACTTCTAGATCTTATGGCCTTGAGTCATGGCTTCAGTTTTATTTAATTACAGGCCATCGTGCTTAGTAATGCAGTACGCATGCCTTAAGCTGTTCATGCACTGCAACTTGATGTAGTGGCATGTTCAAATGTAGCGGGAGGATTGATCAGCTTACCTACAGCTCAATTTACGTGCCATCCAGGTATATAAATGCATTTTGAAATGACAAAAAATGCTACCAGTAAGAGCCCTATACAAGTGCAGATGACATATCAGGTATTTAAATGTAGGTGCGCTTCTGTGCTTTGAATTGTACAGGCTCATTTAGACATCAGGAGATCAGACTGACAAATACCAAGACTTAGAACAGATACATTTTAAGCTTGGAAGGAATCAGGATGAGTGTGCTAACACCCTACTGAGCTGGCATGCACACAGCGGAGTGCTTTTTCTCTCTCTGCAGGCTGGCAGGAAGGGGAAAGGTCAGAAAATACATTTGCAGGTCTTGTCTCTACCTCTGCTCACGAATAAATCTGTCATGATGTCTGCACCCAGATGGCCCAGCAGCAAGCAGCAGGCATGCAGCCCTGTGCCAGAGCCCATGCCACACAATGTTGCTGGCTTCAGCAGAGGCAGGTAGAGGTGCTGTGGCACAACAACGGGGCTTTTGCTTTGCCTAGGAAGTTCAAGAGGGCTGGAACAGTAGTGGGGTGTGAAGAGTTAAGTGACAAATAGCTACGTGCCTGGAAAATGAAGGTGAAATTTCTGTCTAATTGCACTGGGGCAGACATCCCTGCATCATCTCTGTTACTTCTGTTATTCCTGAGAGGTTTTTTTTACTCAGAAATTTTCAAGCGTAATCATGATCATGATTTTCCTTAAAATCTCACAGCTAGAGCCAGCTGAAATCTGGCTGAGAAACCAAAAGAAGCGGAAGAGGCATCCTAAAGAAGAAAGATTTTATCTTCACTTTCTATTTTCTTCCAACCCTCTGGTCCCATCAGCTCAAGAGCTGCCAGGTCTCTTAATAGAAGTATTTCCAAAGTGTTCTTTTGTTTCTTAAACATTTTTATGTGCTTGAAGCAAACTTCTGCAATTTAAACAGATGCAGTTGCACTGTTACTGCAGTGGGAAAGGCCTAACAACAAGCTCATTCCTAACAGCACTGGTGGGTTTTCTAATGAAAGCAGTAATTTGCAAAAGGTGCTTTATCTGCCTGTTCTCCCCTTTACACTTAATAAGAACTAGGGAGACAGAGCTATTTTTCTGATTGTTGGCTTTTTATAGAGATGGTATTCTTTAATATCAAAAATAATCTAATGGCTACATGGGGATTGGAACTCGATGATCCTTGGGGTCCCTTCCAACACAAGCCATTCTGTGGTTCTGTGATACATGAGAAAGTTGAGGAAAAAACTATTTATCTGTCATATGCATCAATGTAACTAACAACAGGACAAGATGTAATGGCTTTAAGTTGTGCCAGAGGAGCTGCAGTTTGGATATTTGGAAAATTTCTTCTCAGAAAGAGCGCTAGCGATTGGCACAGGCTGCCCATGGAGGTGGTGGGGTCGCGGTCCCTGGAGATGTTCAAGAGAAGGGCACACGTGTCACTGAGGGACATGACTGAGAGTGATCACAGCCATGGGTTGATGGTTAGACCAGATGATCTTCTTGGTTTTTCCAACCTTAACGATTCTACGTTTTGGGTCAGGAGGCCTCTGTTAACTTGAAATTGGGGAATTAAACATCCCCAGGAAGAGCTTTAGACACAAGGTCTTGCTTGTGGACTTGCAAAAGGCATTTTACATTTTTTCACTTCGTCTTTCTCATGTTCTTCTATGAGCAATAAAGTAGAATTTACCCTGACTATGTCAGGAATAAAAATAATAACCAGGCAAATTCTATCAAATGCAGAGAGACTACATAAGAGCACAAAATAGTGTCTCCAGTGTCTCCAAAGGTAAAAACACATTTCAGACAAATGTGGGTTGTTGTGATTTATTTTTAACATTTTTTGAAAAAGGGTAAATAATTACAGGGTTATTACCCCAGTACATTACATCCTTCATAGCTGTGAAAACTGAATGCAAAAATATGTCGTTTCACAGTGCTTGATAAAGTGGAGAACATGTACAAAGTGTCTTCTGTGTTCAACTGGGTAATGTTTCTGTTCATGTAAAAAAAGACCTGATTTTCTTTTCTCTCAGAGGAGTGTAACCTGAAGAAGGGTTTTCGAGGCAGCATGCCATAGCTTTTCCTAATTTACCTGACTGTTGCTTAGATGTAGTTATCTTTGATAATCCATAGATGTATACCAAAGTTAAGCATTACAAGAGAATCTTTTTCCTTTCAACTAGTGTGCAGAAAGTTAGCCAAAATGTCTACTTTTTATTCTGCAAAGAAAGGCACTGATTTGTGCATACTTCAGAACCACCACTGAGAGCTACAGCCAGCAAAGCAAGGAAAACAATGCAAACACCTGCAAAAGAAAGACTGAAACACAGCCACTTGGGAATTTCTTTTTCAGCCAAACATTGTGAAGCGTGGTTGTGGAATGTTGCATTTTGTATGGCAAAAGGGCAACTGTAGGTATCTGTTATCTGTAATTGAGGAGGTTTGGGTTTTCTTCTTGTAAAACACCCCCTACAAACCCATCCGTTGGCCAGGACACATTCAAGTTACCAGTGAATTTTTACTTTTTCTTTCCCTCCAAGGTATATGCATGTGGATGAAGAAAATGCCAAGATTAATTCAAATAGGTGCAGCATCCCCTAGGCAGAGAAAGCCTTCCTCAATACATACGCTGCTTTAGAGGGTCGATTAGGAAGAGGAAGTGCTCTCTGTCCCTCAGCTTTCTTCTCCAGCACCCATCACCAGTCCGCCACCTCCTCCCTGCTGCACACCACACCAGCATCCTCCTCGTGGGAGCAATTATGCGTACCAACCTCAGCGTGGGCACATTCCAGCAGTGTCTTCTCCTGCCCAGAGCACTGGACATCATCCAGAAGAATACGAAGCGAAGTCCCTTCCCCAAATTCTGCCTTCTTGCTGGCCCGCACCACATAGGGAAAGCCCAGCTGACGACACACCACAGCAGCGGCTGCTGAGCTCCAGCCATCATCGCACACCGTGCCCCACTCTCCATCAACATAGACCTCTACTCTGCCCCAGCTCCGTCCACGGCTGCCACCATCCAGCCGCACGGCCCCATTGCGGGGTTTCTTCTTCCTGCGCTGTCCCTTCCTTTCCCTTTTTCCAGGCTTGGGGCTTCGTGCTGTGGTGGGGACCAGCATCACGCTGCGGTTCACTGGGGCTTGGTCCACTCGGTCTAGAGCTGGTGTGTGGGACGTGGCAGGGTCTGGCCAGCCTCTTCTCGGGGCTTCAGTTGTGGTCTTTAGTCGGGGACGTGGTGTTGGTGTCTTCACAATGAGTTCTGTTGGAAAAAAAAAAAAGAAAAAAAACAAACCAGGAAATTATAGGTCTGTCATTCTGCAGACACTGCATTATCTTAAAGATAATGACACAAAAACAGTGCTGATTTTTGGCTGATTTAACTTTTCTCTTGGAATTTGTTTACGTGGTCCTGTTGAGAAGCAAAAAGGTTCCCGGTAAGCCCGTATTTTCATCAGTCTGCTGCTTTTAGTTAGCAGAGAGGACTGCACTGCTTAATGCCAATAAATAAGACTCTCAGGAAGGAAACATTACCCAATTTCCAAGCAGACTACTGGCAAAACTTCAGCATGGGTATTAAAGGGTCAGAGTTAGAGCTTCTCAGGTAAGAGTTCTTCGAGTCCCCTTCTCTCCTGTGGAAAGCATTTTAGAGCTGCACACTCACACACTTTTTCTGCTCTCTTCATTACTAATGACTGGATCGTTACCAGACTGAGAGCTCCGGCCTCCCCACTGTGCCAGATGCTTTATTCAGAGGAGCTGAAATCGCGAACATTCAAAATCAATTCTCTCTGGTAACTGGAATGTGCAAAAGGAACGGAGTTGCCAGGACAACACATAAAACAGGATTTGGGGTTGTTTTTTAATTCCTTATGAAAAAAAGAAAAAGAGCCTTGAACTCCAAATAGCTGAAAATTCTTTCCTGTCACAGTTTCCAGGCGTAACTGGACTTGCTTATTCACATACTCTATTTTTAACTTAAAAATAAGTTTTAGCTTGTCAGAGGGAAGCAATTCGGAATTACTCAGAATAATAATCAACTGAGCTGTGACAGTGTCCATATATTTGCAAAGCTATCACAACTTTTTTCTTCTCCTCCTTGTTTTATCCATTCTCATCAATAGTTCTGTAGTGGATTTGGGGGAAAAAATGTCCTAATAACCATTGCTCTCTAAAGACAAAACTATGCAGTGGTTCACTTTTTGAAAGAGCTTCCCAAACAATGCTATTATGAGGAAAATGGTAATTCTGGTGTGCAAAGTGTTCCCCCCTCTGGAAACTGAAGTTCTGAAGGCAAGAAGTAAATGTGAAAGTCTTAGCTGCACACACCTCAGACTCTACTACTGCCTGACCTGGCAAAGCACTCACAAATGCTGGAACTCATACAGTGGTATGCAGGACTGCACAAAAGCTAGTGGCCACTTGGGAGTGCTTTTCACCCCACTCTATCAAGTTGTTTTATGAGTTACTCTTCATCAGGCTGTTTCTTAAATACACTTCCAACAAAAGCATTCCTCAAGCTAAAGCTGGCCACATGCTTTAGTGATTCTGTCACGTTCACACAAACACCAACAAAACAACAAAATATTTACAGCTCTACCTCCTTGTTTTCATGCTCCTGAATCAAGATTTTCATGCTTGGTTTGCACCTAAATGTGAATGCAGTTGTTGAAATGCTCAGTGGAATCTCACCCACTGCTTCTGCGTTATGATGTGATGAAAACTACCTTCTAAATGAAACCACAAATTAGTTACATGTATAGTTTAAAAAAATCTGAATTTTGGACTTGCATACAGAATAATGCATAAGAAGAAACAGAGACAAAGCTGGCTGAACATGAACAAAATTAATAATGCTTTGAAATGGTGTGCACAGCTTGCAAAAGAGAATGTTTCTGCAGAAGTGCTGAGTGCTCAGGCATGTCAACAGTTAATAATCAGCCTTACATCTTGTTCCACCCTAAAGACTCAATCTTGCAAGGTGCTGAGTGCCCTCATTCCTTCATGAAGAGAAAGCTGTGCGACTCGTCAATGATTCAAATGCAGCATATCATGATGTATGTAATAAAAAATTAAATAAGAGTATCCTGACATTAAAGTTCCCACAGTAACATCAACTTCATTACAAAGTTGTTAGAGAACTGTCTAGAACACGTGTCAACAAAATACACTGGAAAAAGAAATGTGATATTGTTAAATGTAATTATGAGGATCAGATGGTGTACTTAGTTCTTCGCATTGAGTGTAAATAGCTCTTACTGCAACTTCATCTGCAGCTTCTACTGTTCCACTTTTAGCAGCACAGTACTTCATTCAGCATGAAGCAATCAAAAAGCCCTGGAGGGTTTGGATAAGCCAAAAGTTCACCTGAATGGCTGATCACACCAAGTCTTTTGTGAGCATTTGCTCATCATGTATTTTCTCTCTCCCGACTAACAATGCCTCAGACCTCATCTTGCTCAATGAGCTATTTCCCAACCCTTTAGCCATGATATCCTTCATCGCCTGAAGTGTTCCTCACTTCCTGAAGGCACTGCAAAAATCATTTGTCACTGAAAAGCACCACAGAACACAGATTCTCAATACAGAAACAGTCATGGGGAAAGCTAGTTGTTAGTAATGAAACAGTTATTATGCAGTATGGAAAAGGCAAAAAGGTACAGAAATTGCAGAGATTTCACATGCCTGGGAGAGGGGAAATATTTCCTGCCTTATGCCTTATTTGAACGAACTCCTCAGATTCAAACCAGCTGGCAAGAATTAATCTCAAAGATGCTCTGAAGCCTGCCGTTCTGGGTGGTCTCCATGCAGAGGGAGAATGCAAGCTTTGAGTTTATATTTACTGCCAGCTAACACACACCCATAATAACCAGCAACAATGACACTTACTCTCCTTTGGCACAAATTTTACAAGCTTGCTTTTTACTTTTACTGGCAGAGGCTCAACTTGGCATTTTCCTGGTGGTGCTCTCCTGTGAAAAAAGGGACACGTACAGCGCACAATTAATTCCTTTCCAGAGGCATCATGAGCCTTTGCTTCCCATTGTTCTTTTGACAAATGTAATGCTCACTGGAAAAAAAAGTCTGCTTAAGTGATCCAAATAATCTCTTACAGTAGAAAACATAATTAAACTATCACATATCTCCATTGATCAAAGTCCAAACATTCACAAGTCAGAGGAGTCCTCTGGCTGTGTTTTTGTTTGCTATTGCTGAATCCATTAAGGAAATAAAACATTGGCAGGTCCAAGCAATCCAGAAAGAGATTAATCAGACTGAAACTAAAAATCACAAAACTAGACAGGGTATGTTGAATATCTGACACAAAGGTCATACCAACGCAAGTTTTCTGGCTGTCTTCAGGGAAGCGAAATAACAGACTATTATTCATACACAAAGCCAAAACAAAAGACTTTCCCTTTTATCGTGGTTGATACAAATGTGGAAAGAAACCAGGTGGAGAATAAAGAGGTCTGCGATTTGTCACTGCCAATGACTTGTCACTTCAGAAATACCAAAAATGCATTAGTTTCAGACAGGAACTGTAAGCATCTCTGACAGAAGCTATCTCTTAGAACAACACATTACTTCGACACGAATTTGTTTGTCTTGGAAGTACAGCTCACTTCTGAGAAGTTGCATCCAGTTTATAACCACTTTTTGCTATGAAAGCTGGTTCTTAATCGCAGCCTTCTTCAGAGGTTTTCAAAAATGCACGATGCATGCATTTGGAGGATATTACTCCTTTGTAATTAGGCTTGTTTGTATTTGCATTTCTGTGGAAGGCAATGAGTTCCTCTCTCAGTTCAGGCATAGGGACATCATATTTCCTACTTTAATTATTTTTCCTGTGAACTCATTCGTATTGCTACATTCTACAGACTGTATCAACTTGTTTTTAAACTTGTGATTTGCCTTTTGACTTCTGCTTTTTCATTTTTGCAAAGGTTGCGTAATACAAGCCTCTTTCTATGCAGTTTACAGGAACTATTCCACAGCATTAGCTAATGGAAAATGCTCCTGACAGAGGAGGAGACAGAGGAATACAGGCAACAGCACTGAGGTCTGTTTAAGCTTGAGGTCTCTTTCCAACATAAAAATAGAAAATCAGTTTGGTTCAGGAGAATACTCAAATAGCTAAAGCGGTATATCAAACTTATTTGAAAAATGAAAGTGAAGGAATGGGTTGCCAAGGAGGTTGTGGATACCCCATCCCTGGAGGCATTCAAGGCCAGGCTGGATGTGGCTCTGGGCAGCCTGGTCTGGTGGTTGGCGACCTGCACATAGCAGGGGGGGTTGAAACTCAATGATCACTGAGGTCCTTTCCAACCCAGGCCATTCTATGATTCTGTGATTCTTACAAAGTCTCTTTCCACATATCTAGCTAAAAATATTTCAGTTTATTTAGTTTACCCAATAATAGTACTGTTTAAAAAACAGGAAATTGGAAAAAACAGTGTAAGTCTCCCCACAAAACACATCTATTCCCTGCCTTACTCAGTTTCATATACAAGAGCATGGGATCCAGAAGAGATGATGACAGTTTGATTCCTTGTCCAAGCCATTTTCCCTCTTAAAATACACAACAAAGAATGCACTTTTTTGACATGCTTTGTTTTGTTGTCTTTCTGCCCTGTCCAAGCGCACACTGCAGGATCACCCCTGGCCACACGGGGCACCTGGACACACAGCACCAAGCTCAGGCTTAGCAGCAAGCGCATCCCCTACCTGGAGGTGTCCACCACTTTGTACACCACCCCGTGTGGGGCCGTGGCACTTGGTACGCCAGTAGACATGAAGTAAAGTTCTCCTAGGAAAAAAAAACCACACACAGCCATGAAATCTCCCCATGGAGTCCATTGGCACTCGCAAGTTGGAGAGCATCAGGGAACGATGAGACTTGAGAGAGAGAGAGGTCTGGCTGCTGGAACAAACAGTGCAACGGGGTTGAAATGAGTGTTCGCCTGCATTCCAGTGGCAAAAAATAAATTCAGTGAGAAACAAGTTTTACATTTCATCATTAAACATTATTTTGACTGATTTCTACTGCATGTTTAGCTGTCCCGGCCTTAGTTGTCACCTCGGTCAAATCTGCATCCTTTAACTCCACTAGTGCAAAACAGTCAAACTCTCAATTCCTTCTGTTGAAATGAAAGGGCATTAAGACTGTTCACACTGCCTCACTCCTTTGGGGTGAATTACACGAGACCAAAATTCTGCTTTTGCTTTCTCACAAAGTGAGGTGTACCTCACACGAAAGGCATTTGGATTTGTGACAGCTCTGTCAAGCTGCATGGGTAGAGCTCGACCTTCAGCCAAACAATTTCCATCACCATTTACTTGATGTGTTTTCTCTTAACTGCATTTCCATCCCCCTCTTCCTGCTGTGCAGGAGGGGCCAGGACAAGCAGCCCTCACAGGCACTCTCCCTCCACATCCCATATTTCTTTCCTGGGAATTACCAGGCAGAAATATGTCTGTGCGATCCATACAGCATGCAGGCTGTCACACATGCATCCCACAGACAGCACGGTGCCTAGAGTGCCCCCAGCATGCCAGGGGATGGGGCTGCTGGTTTTTGAGAATGCAATGATGTGGTGCCCCCACCACATCAACACATCCACTGCTCCAGCTGGATTAATATTCATCAGAGCAGCAGCCCCCAGAATAACTGCTTCCATGAAGAAAAGCTTGCTAAGATTAATTGTGTGGTAAATCTGTAAAACATGGCTGCCTGCATGCCGAAGAGGTACAGGAGAAAAAAGTTCTCTCTAGAGAAAGAAAACTCACTCAACTGCTATTACCAATTTCCATTATAACAAGACAAGAAAAAGGCAAAGGGCTGCCTCTCAGAACAGACTCCTGCCTGAGTTTCCAGCTGCCTTTATTATACTTTCTTAAGCCATGTAATTCTTATTTAAGGTGATGTATCTTTCTCGTCACAGCACTGCAGATCAGCTGCACATTCTATGAATGTTAGACATAAAAGAAAACGGATTTTAACTCTCAAATCATAAAACACCAAATTCTAAACTTTTGAGCTAATCCTCAATTTGGATGGTTTTTACTGCCGTGATAAAACAGAAAAGCACAAGTGATATAAGTCAAATAATTACCTGCTTCATCTTCAGCAAAAGAAATTACGTATTGGTAATAGTTATTGATGAGCCCGGGGAACATGCAGGTTTGTCCTGTCCCCATACAGATTTCACTGTACTGCCACTCTCCAGTAGTATGATCCTCCTTCAAAGACATCAGGCGTCTGTGAAGCAAAAGGAAAATCAAAACCCTAAAATTTGCACAAAACAATCAAGAAAATTATTTATGAACATTCTCTAGGAAACGTGAGGGGATATTTAATGCTTCCTGCCCATGTTAGCAGAAGTATGAACTGCAGCTCATCCAAGTAATAAAGAATTGCTGAGGTCAAAACACTTGTATTAATCACGCATGCATCCCTGGTCTTTCAGGGGTAAGACAAGCACTTGGAGAAAGCATAGGCAAGAATTTAAGGGATTCTACTGGACTTTAAAAAATATATATCTTTGGTTTGTGCAAATGCTACACCAAAGGTTTGCGGAAATTTAGAGATATTTTTTTAGGATGCATTAGCACGCTTTTGTACACCACTTTTAGTATTTTAAGTGAGCACCATATCATTGCTCCGATATTTGTACTGACACAATGTGAACCAGTGACATCAACAGTTGCTGGCATGAAGTCACGTTTCTACACAGCAGCATGGAGTAGAAGCTGTACAAAATATGCCACGTGAGCCATCTGCCACAAGCAGCACACAGCAGCAGATAGCAGCCAGTAGCAGATACATTTGCAGGCAGGCATAGCATTACTGAAGGATTTTGGCTAAGGGTACAGCTCAGTAAGCATCTGAATATTCACTTACCCACTCATAAAATCACCAAATATGTATAAGCCATTCAGGTTTGGAAACTCACAGCCTCGATAGACATAGCCTCCTGTAACAGATTTCCCCATTTTGTGTGGATATGCATAGATTGGAAGCACATCATCTGTAAAGAGAATAGGTGCATGGCTTACCTTGTGTTTCAAATGATGTAGATTAGTTGTTTCTGCATGACACAATGAGGTTTCCCTTGAATACCTTCTAACCAAAGGAAGTGCTGATGAAGCCAAATCTGTGTTGATTCTCACTTCTTCAGAACCATATTTGATACCCCCATCTAACTGGCTGTGCTAACCAGGACAAGCCAGCTCAGGGCTAGTATCACACTACCAATATAAGAGAAATTCCTGATAAACTTGAATGCCCTCCATCCTCTAGACACCTGACCATTCATCTGAGACAAGACTCTCCTTCCATAACCAGGCTCTGTTAGTGCTGCTTCTTGCCAATTTCTCAACAGCTTCCCTATGAATTTGCAGGCTGCTTTCAGAGATACTCATCTATGCAGAAGCTGCTTGCCTAGTGCAATTGTGTTTCACTGGTGAAAGGCAAAAAAAAAGAGACAGGTGACTCCAGACTGCAGGCACTGATGAAAAGATATGTCAGATGTCAGCATGAATAGCATGTGCTTTTACGAAATGGGGGAACTTAACCTGAAGGGGCATCAAATATTTATGGTATAGCACTGTCAAGATGTAGTGCTGGCAGATTCACTGTAAAATGTAAGGTAAAACACAAGTCAGGGACAAAACAGAGGCAGATGACTTGATTTTGAAGTCAGACACTTCTTTGTTCTCCTTTTTCCCTTTTGAAACTCATGGTCCATCCTTGCACCCCTCTTCTTCCTCATAGCCTTCCTCCCTTTCTGTATCAGCAAACCTGGCAGCTGCACAGCAGCAGTATTTCATATGAGGCAGGTGCTTCCTAAGCTTACACTGTTCTTACCACTGTACAGGGGCTGCGACATTTCACTGTGCTAACAAAAGGGTCTCTAAAAGCAACACAAATTGTTCTGAGTCCCTGGAGACCTCAGTAAGTGCTCACCAAGAACACTTGCAGAGGTGCTATCACACAGACAGCACTAAAGGGGCTCTCTGACAACTGCTTCAGCTAAGGAGGTGCAAAAACCCTGCTCCAGGCTTTCAGAAGTTTTATAAAGAAACACTTATGTGCTCCCACTGTACTTGTAGCTATGCTAATAAACAGGAGGTTTAACACATAAAAGGGAAAAAACTAGAATCTCAGACAGTGCAAGTCAGTGCCAGTACCTGGATCTGTGTGGAGACTTCAGCACAAGACGTGTTCCAGATCAGACCTTGCAACACAATGCACTGGCTTCACACACACACACACACACACACACACACACACACACACACACACCAGGGTTTAGTCAGCCAGCAAATCACAGAATCACAGAATCACAGAATCACCCGGGTTGGAAGGGACCTCAAGGATCATGTAGTTCCAACCCCCCTGCCTAGCAGGGCCACCAAACACACACATTCAGATCAGGTTGCCCAGGACCCTGTCCAACCTGGCCTTAAACACATCCAAGGACGGGGCATCCACAACCTCCCTGGGCAGCCCGTTCCAGGGCCTAACCACTCTCCTTGTATAGAACTTCCCCCTAACATCCAACCTAAATCTTCCCTCCTTCAACTTCGATCCATTTCCCCTAGTCCTGCTGTTGTCAGCCCTTTTGAAGAGTTTACTCCCCTCGTGGGTGTAGGTTCCCTTCAGGTATTGATAGGCTGCAATGAGGTCACCCCGCAGCCTTCTCTTCTCCAGGCTGAACAAGCCCAACTCCCTCAGCCTGTCCTCATAGGGGAGGTGCTCCAGCCCCCTGATCATCTTAGTCGCCCTCCTCTGGACCCTTTCCAAAATCTCAATGTCTTTCTTGTACTGAGGGCTCCACACCTGGACACAGTACTCCAGATGGGGCCTCACAAGAGCCGAGTAGAGAGGGACGATCACCTCCCTGTCCCTGCTGACCACCCCTCTCCTGATGGAGCCCAGGATCCCATTTGCCTTTCGAGCTGCCAGAGCGCACTGCTGGCTCATGTTCAGTCTCTCGTCCATCAGGACCCCCAGGTCCTTCTCTGCCGAGCTGCTCTCAAGGACCGCTCCTCCCAGCCTGTACGGGTGCCTGGGGTTCTTCCGGCCCAAATGCAAAACCTTGCACTTTGCCGTGTTGAACCTCATTAGGTTCACCCGAGCCCAGCCCTCCAGCCTGTCGAGGTCCCTCTGAATGGCATCCCTTCCTTCCACCGTATCGACTGCACCACTCAGCTTGGTGTCGTCAGCAAACTTGCTGAGGGTGCACTCAATTCCCTCATCGATGTCATTAATAAAGATGTTAAAGAGCACCGGTCCCAAGACAGACCCTTGGGGGACACCACTTGTTACCGGCCTCCACCTGGACATAGAGCCATTGACCACCACCCTCTGTCTACGGCCTTTCAACCAGTTTCTTACCCATCGGGTCGTCCACCCATCAAATCCACTTCCCTCCAATTTGGAGATGAGGATGTGGTGGGGGACCATGTCAAAGGCCTTGCTCAGGTCCAGGTAAATGACATCGGTCGCCTTCCCTTCGTCCACCAATGCCGTCACTCCATCATAGAAGGCCACAAGATTAGTTAGGCATGACCTTCCTTTGGTGAAGCCGTGCTGGCTGTCTCGGATCACATTCTCATTCTTTATGTGATCGAGCATGTTGTCCAGGAGGATCCGTTCCATGATCTTCCCAGGCACGGAGGTGAGACTCACCGGCCTGTAGTTCCCCGGGTCCTCCCTGCTCCCCTTCTTGTATATGGGAGTGACGTGACCCTTCCTCCAGTCATCCGGGACCTCACCTGACAGCCACGACTTCTCAAATATGATGGAGAGCGGCTCGGCAACCACCTCAGCCAGCTCCTTCAGGACCCTGGGATGCAAGCCATCCGGCCCCATAGACTTGAATTGAATTCATTCAGTCTAATACCTTAATTCAAGTTTGAAAAGTAAAAAGAAATTATGGTTTTGATTTTTGGCACAGCTAGAAGAAATACAAACAAAATGTACATTCAGTTACCTGCAAAGCAGCGTGCATACTGGATGGTCAACTTACAGAATTCGTTATTTTGTGGGGGATTTTTTGTTTGTTTGTTTGCTTGTTTTTAAAGAAGGACACTAGTAGTGAAATTATTTTTCCTTCTGCAGGAAAGCTTATTTGATGTGGAAAATATTAAATTCTCCCCCCAAATCAAGGAATCTCTAGAATATTTGACTAACTATACTGCCAAGGAAAGCAACAGCTAGGACATTTCATTTGTCTCCTAATTCAAAAAATGATGACCTCTGGACTTCCAGGATTTATCCCCAAGTCAGTTTCCATCCTAGACTGAGAGCACATAGCCTTTCATAGTGCTTTCAGTCAAGCAGCCAGGCTTTGAAGGCAGGAATTAAAATTGACAGTGCTGAATAGTGCACAGTGTGAGAGGCACGTAATTTCAAGAGAGCGTATATTTACCCAGTGAAGAATTGACGCAAAGCTTTTTATCATAACAGCTGAATCCCTCCCTCGCCCTCCAGCCGTAGTTCTTCCCCTTCTCTACAATGTCGATCTCTTCATATTTGTTCTGTCCTACATCCCCACAGAAGAGACGCCCCTTCCCTTCCTTCGTATCAGGCTCTCCCCTGTCGAATGAGCAGCGCCACATATTCCTCACTCCGTAGGCATAGACCTCAGGTCGAGCCTGTGGGTCATCAACGAAGGGGTTGTCCGGGGGGATCCTGTACACAGGCCCCCGCTCATTGTTGTTCACGTCGATCCGCAGCACTTTGCCCAGCAGTGCTGATCTGTATTGGGAGAAGAAAGGAAAAGGGAAATAAAATTAGATCGCAGTTCAACAGACATTCTCATTTAGATACATATACATGTATTTATATATATATTTGTATATATATTTTTTAAAGAGAACACAAGACTTTCCATGGGAGGTGTGCACAAACATCAGCGCAGCATCAGAGAAAAAGTAAACTCTGGACAGAAAACAGCCCAAATTTTGCCTCCCCCAATTGCTTGCCTTAATCTAAGGGCAGCAGAAGGGACAGGTGATACAAAGTTTTAGGGGCTCATACTTGTTCTGGGCGTTTCCAAAGGTCCCAAAAGGATCTCCAGCCATGCCTCCATCTCCAGTAAATATATAGAGATAACCATCATCACCAAAGAGCAGCTCTCCTCCATTATGGTTGGAAGCTGGTTCTTCTATTTCCAGAATTATCCTAATTGAAAACAGGAATAATGCATTACCTATTGCACAAGTTGTAAGAAAAAGGCAGAGTAATACCCACCCGGTGTTGTTCTTGAGACACAGAAATGGCTGCAGGTCAGCTTTGGTGCATATTCTTCCATACTGAATCTTGCTTAAGCTTAACTTTTCTACCATCATATTATTCAGACATATTTTCCAGATTACAAAAACACCAAATTGTGTAATAAGGAAAATCTGAGAAATTACGTGGCAGAAGATTTTTGTAATTATACTTCTGCTCTGATTCTTCCTTCCTCCTTGTTGGTTTTTTTTGTTTTTTTTTGTTTTTTTCTTCTCAGCTCAAATCAGACCGCAAACCATGAGGGAAAGGACTCCATCTCTGCATCTGTACAGCACTTGGCACAATCCTGACAGGCGCTTTCAAGGCGACCTAAGACTTTCTGAACATTACGTAATATAGCTAAATGCTTAAAAAGAAAAGGATCCTTAAAGGGGAATTACATACACAGGGCATCAGGAACTTCAAGAACTGTAAAAGCAGTACCACCATCCGATTAGCATCCTGACAAAGCAAACATTATTCAAGTCAGTACCCTCAACTTCATTTTAAAGCCTGAGCAGCTCTTACTTTTATCTTTTTGGTTTTGGGTTTTTTTTTGGTTTTTGGTTGTTTTCTTTTTTTTTTTTTGCTGCTTTCTGTTTGCTTGTTTTTAATGCAGCTGGCCTCTCTTTCTTAATAAGAAAAGGCCAAAGTTATGAAAATATAACTTTAAAGAAAGGTAAAGCCAGGAACACAAGCAGGAGATTCCCAGGTGTAACAAAGCTTTCTTTACTTCAGTTTCCAGGGATTTCTCTCAACTACCCAAAGAAACCTCTCAGGATGAAGTCTGGGAGAGACGTGCCTGCACAAGCACAACAGGACCACAGGTTTGTCTTACTAAGCTTTCACTATACTAACCAATGGCTACATGAGCACAGAAAGAGTTACAAGTACAGAGCTTGATGTTTTTTTAACAAAACAGCTGAGAGGCCTTGACATCTGCAGGCTTAAACTACTGAACCAGTCAACAAAGCCCATAATACAGTGTAATAAAGTAAAAATCTCAAAATTAACTCTATTCAAGGTCTTCTTCAAACAGGGGATCAGTCACATGGTTCTGCAGCAGGTTATAAATCCATTAACTGTCTTCAGAAACAAACCTTTAATTATGTGTGTATTAATGTGGATCAGCTGCAGGGTCAGACTCAAATTAATTGTCCTATCAAAATACTCTCAGTAATAGCATAGTTATTTACACTTTATTTAATTTGATGCTCAATTTGTAACATCATATGGTCAAGTTCTCATTCAGATTAAAAAAAAAAAAATCATGGGATCAAATTCATTTTGGTGCAATATCATCAGGTTTGTTTCTAGTAATTTTGGGAACCTTTAGCTTTGAAATGAATTTCACTCATGCATTGCAGAAGTCTATCACAAAGGAAAATCAATAAACCAAAACATTAACTGTAAGTAATGTTCTTTCAGAGTTCAGTTAAAACTTCTGACATACTGGAATTAAGAATCATGAATATTCTGTTCTAAGTACTTGTAGTTTACCCACAGAGGACACCTGTATTCACTGTGTCAGTATGCTAGGACTGAAATTTGGCTACCTTCATAGGATCATAAAGTGGTTTGGGTTGGAAGGGATCTTTCAAGTTCATCTAGATCCAACCCCTCTGCTGTAGGCAGGGATACCTCCCACTAGACCTGGTTGCTCAAAGCCCCATCACCTGGCCAACACACTGGAATACAAGAACAATATTGAGCTAAATAAGCTTTATTTGTTAGTAAGCCTTAAAAACACACAAGCTGTCTTCTGAGATCTTAAAGACATTAAAGGTGCGTACAGTACCTTTCAGAACCATGGTCCACAGTATTCATGTCACCAGAAGAAATTCTGAACTCACTGATTCGGATTCTCTCTTCATAACGAACTTCAACTGAATAGTAGACATACACTTTACCAGTAAATTTGAATTTAGGATGGAAGACAATACCTAGAAAACCTCTCTCGTCTCCTTCCCAAGGTGAGGTAAGCACGGCTTCACTGATGTTTAGAAAAGGTTTTTCAAGCCTGGACCGGTCAGGGAGGTAGGCCCACACCAGGCCAACCTGCTCAGCGATGAAGAAGCGATGGGTGCCGTCGTTGGCGTGCACCATTGCAACGGGATTGCGCAGCCCGTTGGCCACCTCCGCGAGGCAGAGCTGGAGGCAGCCCTCTGCATCAGCGGTCACCAACCCCAGGTTTTGGTTGAGGTTCTCATTAGCCAGCAGGTGTGGGAAACAGTAATCTGTGTCCTCCAGGGACAGGTAGCGGCAGAATTTTGCCATGTTGTTCTCCAGTGCAATTAACTCCTGGTCTGTAGAGAGATAGCGAAAAATGGACCGGCATTTTTGCCATACTTGCTGACAATAGTCCTGGCAAAGTCCTGGTATGGTCCGCACAGGGGTGGAGGGATCCTCAGCATCGTACAAGTGAGCTGCATATGGAGAGCATTCCTAGAAAGAAACAGAAAACGCCTCAAGCCATTTGTGGATCAGATTTAAAACAGCTGAGCAGCAACACTAATCGGAGGAATTTCACCTTAATTACAACATATGTTATGGTTTATTCTGAAGATATATTAAGAGAGGAAAAGATCTCAGAAAGTGGGTTTAGCTTAGCATTCACAAAAATGATCTTCAGTGTTTCTGGTGAAAGCTGGCTCCTACAAGCTTCTCATGTACGTACGCATTTATCCCAACCATAGCACTAACTCAAGAAAACCAATGATGACACACATCTTGCTGTATCGCCTTAGCAGGATGGACTGGAAAAAAAGCATTTCTATACTGGATGCTCTGACTATGAGATACAGAGCGGGTTCACCACAGCACAGCAGTGACACAAGGAGTTAGCTGGGAAGATTCAAGCCATTGCAAGGCTTGGGTTGGAAAGGACCTTACAGATCATCTCGTTCCTGCATCTGCACACAGGATCTCTGAGCATAGACATTTGATGTATCTGGCTCAAAGAGGTCAAAATGCATCCCACTCTGACTACACTGGTCACTAAGCTCAGGTATTGGGTTTTCAGACAGAGATCACAAGACGGCCATAATCCAGGCAAACCCCTAAATCCCAAGAAGGGCTGCAGGACAGCCCTAATTTAGGGAAAGTGAATCCTTGGAGGTCTAAGGACTGACTCAAATCTGCATACTCTGTATTTTCCACTACAAGAACTCCTCCAGAGAAATGCATTTTCTTTCTTCGTCACTGCAACCCAGTAAAATGGTCTGTAAATCACAGACTGACCAAAGTGACTCAGTTCTGATTTGTAAGAGTTTTTCCACGTATTAAACACATAATATTTTCCAGTTTCAGCGCATCTTCCCAATAGGCATCTCTAAAGTGCTCTCCAAATAACTTAACATGACTTAGTGAATGCTCAGATATTTTTATAGGGTAGATAAATAACTGAGGCAAGAAAGGCAAGAAGAGAAACTATCCTTCCTGAATACATTCTGCATTGTTTAATTCCTGGGTGGCATTGCTTCCAAGTAAAATCAACTTAGTTAAAAAAAATCAACCTATAAGCAGTTAAATTCTAATGCAGATTACGGTGCTATTCAATAGCTGAAAAGGCATAAGATCCAGAATACTGATGTATTTAAATTAGCTGATAAGTGCACACAATATTTTTTATTTTATTTTCTATTACATGCCACAATTAATGGAAAGACCGTACAACAGATCATTAGCTTTCCCCTCATAATGTCAAGCTATTCAATGCAAAATGAAGGTTTTTATGCCTTCAAATGAGAAGCAATTAACATGGTAAAAAGGAGATTGCACATGACTTAGAAATGACAGGCAGATGTGATAACAGCACTCAGCTCTGTTACATGAACATGAAGAGGTGTGCCAGGGACAGAAAACAGCTGCAGTGTTTGCTGGTGTTGTTTTCATGATGAAAATTTAGCCTAAGAAAACTAATTTAAGCAAGAGAATTAGGACAAGGCCTGTATCAGAGCTGCTTTCCTTTCTGCCTTTGGATTTCACACTCTGGAAAAGGAGACACCAAGATGTATTTGGTTCTCTGAAAGCCTGCTTTGAGAAAGCAGCAAGAATGTCAGAATTAAGGATTGCACAGAGGTACAACTTCCCTGCTCCTGTCACCACAGGTTGCTCAAGTACAAGAAGAAACACTTGTCAAAATAATCTGATTACATTTGAGAGAAATCACAAACTGTGAGCAGAAAGGGACAGAAGTGTGCTGAATAATTCACAGAAAACCTTTTATTAATTCAGGTAGAGGCCGTAAGTTTCATGTATGGTGAATAAGTGAAAGCAGTGCTCTGGAACAATCGCAGTGCCTGAACTCCCACGTTGCGCTTGTGCGGCCATTTGTAGCCGTGTCTCAGGCCGGTGGTGCACCGAGCTCATTAGAACATTTCAGTGAATCATTTTCTGCATGTTGAGAGATTTCACCACTTCTGAACAAATTTTCAACAGCCAGGTTTCTGACGTACGCAGGAGACAGAAAGAGCACTTAGTGGGCACTGCCAACTACTAGTCTCCAACCTGCAAATGGTCTGTTGGATGCTGCCTGTCTCAGGAACATATTCAAAGGTTTTTGCTTTCAGTACAATTTGGGATGAAATGAAAGTCAAATCTGTAGAAGGCTGTTATAGGAAAGGGTCGCCTTTCTCTTCACAGTTTTAGCAACATAAATATTCCCCAGAAAACGCTACAAGCAGGATTTCTGGTCAGCCACTCTGATCCCATCTGAACATGGCAGACTGGGCTCTGCTGCCTGAATTAATTTCAGATTTACATTGACACAGCACACAGAGCTGCTACTATTCTGTCCCGGGGGCATTTTCATAGACACGAGGCCACGGCCAATGATAGGGCTGGACACTTTGCTCTGTACAATGTGTGATCATCCCGCTACCATATCCAGCTCCAGAACAGCCGCCCCAGTGAGAATCTCCCAGCCAGAGGTTTCTTGGCCTCATTGTCAGGCATCACATCAGGACTGCTGACACCTGGACGGCGCACGTCAGGGTGCTGTGACCCTGCACAGAGAGACACCTGACGCTGTGGGGAACAAGGAGTGTGTTTTGTAGCTGGGGGTTTTCCAGGTACAGACCCCTGGGAGACGTAACTGTCCACACCCCCACCTTTCAGAGCGCCACTGCTGCTATGTTAGATCAGATCCAGAGGCCAAGAAGCCCAGAGCAACCTGGCGAGGGGCAGCTGCTGCTGACGGATCCAGGGTGCGCACGTGGGCTGACAGCCCCATTCCCGGCACGGTGAGCAGCGCTGCCCCGGGTCACGCGGCGCCGTGCCAATGCTGGTGCGCCCGCGGCCGCGCCGACACCCCGAGCACCCCGCGTGGACCGGCGCAGCCACGCCTGAAGCGCCCAGACGAGGGCTGATGCCGCGGAGCCGAAGCCCCCTCACCTGGCAGAGCAAGTCCTGCAGGTGCCCGGCGCAGGCGGAGTACGTGGGCCCGTCCAGGTGTGCGCTGAGGCGATAGAAGCGCTGGAGGAGCGCCCGGTCGCGCCTCGAGTCGCAGCAGCCGAAGGCGCCGTAGCGCCGGCAGAAGGCGAGGGCCCGCGGCGGCCGGAACGGCGGCTTGAAGTCCAGGCACTGCGGGTGCGGCCGGCCCGCGTCCGGGCCCAGCGCCGCCGCC